GTCATATGCCAGTGTCACTCAGTTCACTATTTGCAAGTTCTTGAAAAAAAGAGATCATATGTCGATATGGTTTACCCAAAAGAATAATTACCGATAATGCAACGAACCTGAACAATAAGATGATGGGCGCTACTTGTGAATAGTTTAACATAAAGCATCACAACTCTACTACTTATAGACCGAAGATGAGTAGAGCAGTAGAAGCGACAAAAAAAATACGAAGAAAATAGTGGAGAAAACAACTGAGACATACAAGGATTAGCACAATAAACTACATTTTCTTTGTTTTGCTTACCGAACTTCGGTATGAACTTCGAATGGGGCAACCCCATTTTTATTAGCATATGGGACGGAAGCAGTATTGCCCATTGAGGTGGAGTTTTCATCACTTCGGGTTTTGTCAGAAGTTAAGCTAGATGATGCAGAATGGGTGCAATCTCGATATGATCAATTGAACTTAATAGAAGAAAAGAAGTTGAAAGTCATTCATAATGGTCAGCTCTACCAAAAACGAATGATCCGAGCACATTATAGGAAAGTGCGCCCAAGATTATTCCAAGAAGGGGATCTTGTGCTGAAAAAGGTCTGGCCAATCCAAGAGGACTATAGAGGAAAATGGATGTCAAATTGGGAAGGACCTTATGTCGTAAAGAAGACTTTCTCCGGAGGAGCATTGATCCTAACTGAAATAGACGGGCCGAAACTACCTAATCTTGTTAATTATGATACAGTCAAGAAATATTTTTCTTAGGGTGAAAACCTGAAAGGACGCCCTGAGTTGAAAGGAAAAAAACTTTTAGAGTGAAAACTCGGAAGGGCGCTCTAAATATATATATATATATATATATATATATATATATATATATATATATATATATATATATATATATATATATAAAGAAAGGGTAGGTCTAAGATGAAAACCCGCGAAGAGATTCTTGAAACCAAGGATGGATCCAAGTTGAAAACCCAAAAAGGTGGCTTAGATAAGTATCCAAGATTCACGCAAGGGAAAGGTCCCGGATCAACGCAGTAAAATACCAAGACATCTGAATCTTCCGTAAACTTAATAATTCAGAGGAAACTGGCACTCTCCCGAATATTGTCACATCCTCGAAATTCTCTTGGCAAAAACTACACTCAAAATTCATATAGCGGTGTATTAGTTCAAATGTGTCCGCATCATCAAGATCTAGGGCATTTATTTGCATTTCTTTTATGTATTGACTTCTCAGAATGTTTGACATGTACTTTTTTTCCTTTTCGCTTCATAAATAAATCAATTCCTTTAAGCATCTTTAATTGAACTTGAATAAAAATGATTTATTCACTTTTGAAAAGACAATTGCATATTATTGTAAAAAGATTTGTTTTGAAAGGTACAGATGTTCGAAAGCCTTTCAAGGCTTATGCACCATACTCGAGGTAATGGGTTCTAATTCATTGAAAGGCATTGCTTAAATCAAGACTATAAATAACCTTCTATACATCAAATTTAAGCATGTTGAAGAATCCAAGATCAAGAATCAGAAATTTAAGATTCCAGAATCAAGAGTCATCAAAACTGACAACCAAAGATTGAGATTTCTCTAAATCCTAAAGTAACATATTCCGTATATGCATTTTAGGCACACATAAGAGCATTACATCCATAGCATTGCATATATACATAGTTTTACAGATTTTTGTCAGAGTCAATTTCAACTTCACAATGAAAGATATTGAACTCGAAACGATACAAATTACACAAGATTGGATTTTAACTTTACAACGAAGGATATCCAACTCAAAGCCAATTTAAACTCAACTTCATGATGAAATAGTCACCCACGATTTCAACTTCACGATAAGAGATATCGTGCCTAATAAATCAGTTTAACTACACGACAACGAAGTCATCTGCAACAACATGAAACTATCTCCCAACCTAATTTACAGTATAACTCAAGGCGAAAAGGGTTATCTATCAACAGAAACTTTTGAGTTTGATTTCATTCAGCTCGAAGGCGTATCAACCACATAGTAGCAGCAAGGAACTACTTTCTGGTCGAATTTTCAAACAAGGCTTTTAAACCAAGAATAAGGCCAATGCTAACTACAATTTGGCAACAATAAGCCACCTTCCGATTCAAATTTCGAATTATGCTTTCAAATTCAAAATGAAGGATACCATGTTCAAAGACATCTCAAGATTAACTCAACTTTATCTGCAGTACAACTCAACAACATGGAGTCGTCTTTTTTTTTTGAATCTCAACTCCATGGCGAAAGGTAGTTGATAAATATTCAACAGCAACATTAAGTTGGATTTCAAACTAAGAAGTCAACAACTCTCATAGGAGCATGCTTGTTTCCAAGCCCATATGCACCGAACGAAAATTTGTATCTTTTTGTCTCTGCCCTATTTTCGTTGCTTGATAATGGGCAAAGAGGGACATCTATAGTCACTTATTTTCGTCTGGGGTTTTATATACATATAACGCATATAATATATAATTTTGAAAACATTTTTTGAATATATATATAATGTATAGTTTTGAAAACATTTTTTGAAAATATATATAGTATATAGTTTTGAAAACATTTTTCGAAAATATATATAATATATAGTTTTGAAAACATTTTTCGAGAATATATAAAATATATAGATTTAAAAACATTTTTGAAATATATATAATATATAGTTTTGAAAACTTTTTTTGAAAATATATATAATATATAGTTTTGAAAACACTTTTCAAAAATATATATAATATATACTTTTGAAAAGCGTATATAATATTAGTTTTTTTAAAAAAATATTTTTGAGAACACATTTTATATTATATTTTTTATTTACATTATATTTATTATTTATTTATTTATTTATTTATTTTGTTTACTTTTATTTTTATTTCATGCCCGAAAAAAGGTCCAAAACCGAGTCCAGCAGAGCCCAATTGGGTAAAGGCCTTGACCTAGCCCCAACCCGATTAGGGGTTTTCAATCTAGCAATGGCGTCGTATATGTGGCACGTGGAAGCCACGCGCGATGCGTGGAGATCAGAGGCCAACAACCGGCCAAGATCGGGACTGAATCATCCCTAAAATCCCGGCCAAACGACATGCATGAGAAAATTAGAACGAGTAACCCACGAATCCCGTCCCGTTCAGGACTCAACACACACAGTGAGCAATCGAAAGGAAGTTAAACAACCAAAATCACAAGCAAAATACGAAGCAAAATATAGCAAACAAAAAAACTGAAATCATCCAAAGTTAAACAAAAAAAAAAAAAACAAAGCATCCATCGCAAAATCAAGATACAAGGAGAGGAGATTCAGCGGCGCAAAGGATAGCACCACCGCGAGAAACGAGAACGCCGGAATACTGAAGGCCAATAGGTAAAAATCGAACTTTCACCTTAGATCCATGATATTTAGGGGATTTGGGGTTCGATTTCAACGTTGGGTGGTGTGGAGAACATTTTAGGGTAATTTGGGTTTTTCGGCCTCCGATGGTGGTGGTCGAAGTGGCGGTAAAGCTACGTCGGTGAGGGGTCGACTGTTTGATTGATTGGGGAAAGGGGGAGAGAATGTAGAGAATGGGAGAGCCTAGTTGGAAGTGAGGAAGTGAGAAATGAGAGAATGATATTTTTTTGTGTTTTCGGGATTATTTATAGGGGTTATTGTCTAATTATGAAATATTTAAATTATTTTCGTGGTGCTTATACTTTTGATGTGTAATTCATTTTGGTCATCTATCTCAATTTTGCCTCTGAATTTTCAATTAATTCGATTTAATCACTATTTATAATTTTTTTTTTCAATTTAACCTCTCTAACTCTTATTTTATTTCTTTACAACACATCTTTAGTATTAATTTGGTCCCTCAACTTTAATTTATTTCAATTTAATCCTTTAAATTTTTTATCTCTCTTTATTTTTTTAAAACATTTTTAAACTTTTTTGACCTTTTTAATTTTGTGAATTATTTATACATTTTATTTCACAGTCTAATAATTTTTTATTTTTTAGGGGTAATTCTAATAGATCAAAGGTAAGTAGTTCGAATTGAATTTTTAAATTTCAATTTAACTTTTAATTTTTGTAATTAAGACTACCTAGAAACTAAATTAGTACCGAAAGGGCAATACAAGGGTGCTAATCCTTCCTTGAATGTAACCGACTCCCGAACCTGACATATTTCTGATAAAACACAGATAAGGTAAGATGGTCAATTGAGGTGTTCAATCAACCTAATTATTTTGAAAAAATATATAAATGATCGGTGGCGACTTTTGCATATTTAATTTAAGTCGAAGCCCAATTCCATGTCCACCCGAAGGACGGTTACGACAGTAGAAAATTCCCATTAAGAGATTTACCAACCAAAGTTAAGTGTGCGATACGAGTCAATCCTAATTAGTGAAGGCAAAGCTCAGAAAATCTGAAGGGTAACAAAAAATTATATTTTTCTTTTTTAAAAAGAAAAAAAAAGGAAATTATTTAAAATTGAATTTAAAATTTAACGTGAACTGAAATTAAAATAATATCTTTTAAGATACATTACAAGCTTAATTACTTTTTTATTTGATAAAATTTTAGATAATTTGTTGAGAAAAAATTGGTTATATAGAGTTTTTTTTTCAAGTAGGATGTTTGTCATAGTATCTATTGGAAGTCGTTTGGTACACACGGAGACTTTTGAAAGTCGTCTGGATTGTCAGGTGTCTTCTTCATGCTCCATGCATACACGATATAGAGATAGCTGATGGCACTCAAAAAATCATCAAGAGTCTAAACGTCTTTTAAAAGTCATCGTGTGATTCGGGGAATTTTCACCTGGTATTGTAACAAATACTCTGAAAAAGTAATTTTTTTTACACCCTTTATAATAAAAAAAAATTAACACTTTTTAAGAGGATTTTTTTATTTTTAAACATATAAGATTTTGTCTTATAATAATTGACTCAAGATTCTCTTTCTCTTGAACATCTAAAGTTATCGTTCGACCGGCTCGCGCGATTGAAAGTCCAATTAGATAAAATGGGAGGTTATTTCCTACGCAGAACACCATCTCCTAATCTTCCATTTAAGCTTTTAATTTCTGCTTTCAGTCTGTTGTTCCAAACGCATCAAAATAGAAAGGTCGCTCCAAAAGAAAGGCCTAAAAGCGACGATTCCTATTTCTTCCCTGTTTTGTAAGTGCATCTATCTGAGATGGCAGGGTTTCGGATTCGTCGTCGATTTTCAGTGAGTCGCTTTAACATCGAGGTCAGTTTTCTTTCTCTTTCACTTTAGTTTCAATCGTTTCCATTTTCTGTTTGACAAAGTTGTAAATTTGAGCAAAGTTTTTTCCTTTTCCATTATTTTGATATGTATACCAGGGGTGATTAATGAGTTGTTATGCTCATGAGCTGTTTGAATTCGATTCGGATAAAACTCGGTCAAAATTCGATTGGTTTGGCTTGACTCGAAATTTTAACGAATTAAGTCGAACAAAATTTAACTCGATTCGATAAGTTCACGAACAGTTCGTTAACTTTTTTTATATAATTTTTTTAATAGTTTGGTGATTGTAAACAAAAATGAATGGAGTGAAGAGAGGTTGATTTCTTTATTTTTAATATTGGTTATGTATTGTTGATCTTCTTTTTTTTCTGAAGAGTGTTTTTAATACGTTAATTTGATGTATTTGTGGATTGTTATATTAATTTTATTATGTTAATTGGTGTATTTGTGAATTATTATTTTAGAGTTTAAATTTTGAAATTATTTTATACACTTTGTGATAATTTTTGTAGTTAAATCTGATAATTTATGTTTATATTATAGTCTATATTAGTAGATTTTAGTTGTAGTGAAAAAAATAAGTTAAATTTTTAGCGAGTTTGACGAGTTTAACGAGTAATGAGTCGAGCAACGAGTTAAGTTTAGAAACAATTTTTTTTAATGAACATGGGTCGAGTAAAATTTTAACGGTTTTAACGTGCAACGAGTCAAGTTGAATAATAAAATATTTTAACTAGCATGAATCGAATATTATCCAACTTAAGATTGACTCGCTCGATAAGCACCATACAGGAATCGGCTTTGGTTCAAGAAAGACATCGAAGGTTTTTGTTTTAATATACAAATTTGCAGGTAAAAAACCAGTGAGTTTTATTCTTGAAAACATGCTTGTGGGTTGTGGAAACAGGGTCGGGGCCTGAGAGCTGGATTGACAAGGAAGCCAAGGGTTAAAACGCGTGTGATGCAGTCACCCAAAGCTTCGCTAGTTGCAGAGATCAAGGCGCTGAATTGGATGCTTAGTGAAGCCAACAAACTCGCTGAGAAATGGATTGACGATCATCTTGTTGAGATTGAAAATGACCCTTCGATGAGGGACGCTTTTGAAATGATCGATCCTCAGAATCACAATATGAGGAACACTTTATTGGGTAGTGAGCTTGACCTTTTACAGGACGGCGGCGCCGCCCTGACCGCCGTGAGTTGTGTAAACGCTGGGTTTACACTAGAAGATGATGCTGCTGAAGAAGATGGTCTAATGATCGTTAAATGTCCCAAAAATAATGCCACGATCCAGACACTCGAGAGAACAGAATCCATCCGCCCCACTCGCTACTCACACTTCCATGCTTGTCATGTGGCTTAAAATATTATGTCCGTAAAATTAAGTGTGTTGTGTTATATAACTTAAGTTTTATAATGATGGATGTAAGATTAAGTACCTCATCAAAGCACTTGGTTATTAAATATTGTAATATGCATTACCCTTTTTATATTGTGTGTTTAGTTCTTCAAATTTGTAATATGCTTTGTTTTTCTTACCTTGTGTGTTATGATTAAAAGCATAAATGCTATTTGAGAATACATATAATCTTATCTTAATCTCTCTCTCTTCCGAATTCCAATTCCATAGCATATACCAACCAAAACCATGAATTAATGGTATCAAATTGAAAAAAAAAAATCAAAGATGAATAAAATTGGATTTATGTCTAAATCTTAAATTCACCAAAAAAAGCTTGAAAATCAAATTCAAAACTTACCTAGGTGTTCTTGGTAGCTCATGGCAGCAAAGAACGATGAAGAATCTTAATTTTTCTTTCTTTCATTTTAATCCTTTTTTTCATTTTGGTCAGTAACTTTTATTTTTGAGGTATTACGCAAATGGTGTAAAAAAGGACAGACACCAAGGAGAGGTAAAAACCGAAAGTCTTTTTATAGATCTGGGTGGTGGGTTCCATTTTTTAGGCGAGTGGTCATTGGATATAGGGTCGATGAGTTTAGAGGAAGTGAAAGGAAAACTTCAGAGGTCTCCGACCACCGAAGAACAGTCGTCAGAGTTTGATCTGAAAAAGTGTCTTCGATTTCTCAGTAGGATTAGAGAGAGGGGACGTTGTCTCTCTCTACTGTCTAGGATTTGAGAGAGTGAGTGTAAAATGAAGCACGTTGTGTTTTTGGGCTTAAATAGGGAGCTTAGTGGGTCGGTTCAAACCGAATAGAGGATTCGTGTATTTTAGCCTTTCTTGGGTAAATTATTGTCACCATCCTCCTTAGTTTCTAGAGAAATTCAATTTAGTGATAACCTTTTATATCTTGAAATTTTACCCTCTAATTTTATATTAGTTTAATTTAGTCATGACTTGACGTTAGTTAGTTTATATCTTTATAATTTTGCCTTTACTTCAAGATTGTTTGTATTATAGTCCCTACTGTAAGATCTAATTAATTGGTTTCTTTAATTTAGTTCTTTCTTTATATATATATATATACTATAGTATTATTTTTGCTATAAATTTATTAACATATTTTCCTATTTAAATATCAATATTTTGATTTTTTAATAATTATTAGTTAATTTATTAAAATCAAGTCAACGTATTTTTGAGGAAAATCTTTGAAATCGCCTCTTAAATTGTGTTAGTATAATCTCAGTAATTGTTCGAATGAATAAATATCTTCTTCAAATATTTAATTCGAGTATTTGTGCATGCTGGAAATCTTCACTGGGAGACTGACCCACCAAAGCCAAATGTGTGACTCGGGTCAATCCGGATTAATTAGGATAAACCTTGAAAGGCAACAAAAAAAATCAAGATAATGTCATTTTGTAAAGGGAATTTATAAAATTGCCTCCTAAATCACGGGAGTATGATCTCAAAGATTATTAGAACGAATGAGTATATTTTTTAATAATTCCCATTTATATATATATATATATATCGATTACATTTATTTATTTTACCAAATATTAGATTTTTGCCAAAATACAGATGATAAATTTGTTTTAATTCATAAATTAATGAGACAATATCCTAAATAATTGGATGACGGTCTTCCTTAAATTTTCGGGATAAAGGGATATCCTTCTTTAAAATTGATTAGAGTGAACCAAATCTTTTTTCAGAGTCAAATTATTTTTTTAATGTTCACTTAATTAAAGGATCATCTTTTAAATTTACATTTAAATTTGCAAATTCAAAAGCTTAGACAACATTAGACATCGATATAAGACGTTGTGGAGGTGTTCATCATTCCCCATGCAATCAACTCCCGAACTTGATTTTAACAAATCTTGGTTAAACATAGATCGCAATCAACTCCCGTTCGTAACATTTGTGAAGACAATTGACCCAAAAATCTCTGAGTTATGAGTAAATACCTGAAGAATAATTTATCGAGGGTGATCTTTTGTTAGAATTGTTCGAAAAGACTGAAATATATGATAAGTTTGAATTAAATAATACTATCGGACGGAATGAAATATTGAAATATCATGGATCTGTAAAATGACCAAGATACCCTTGGAATGCAAATGACCCAAGAATATCACTAAGCCGATGAATTATTGAATACCCTGGAAGGGCAATGAATTGACCAATCAACAAGTATCAATTCTAGGAGTTGTTTAGCTCGAGTTGTTCGATAATTCGATCGATCGACATAGATGGTAATTATCCTGAATCTTCGTTCTCATTTATCAGCTCAAATTGTAACACCCATAACATGTATAATTATACCTATACAGATTATAGATGTTATCCGAATTTCTAAAACCATTTTACGATTCAAAAACGATTTAAAATTTATTTTCTTAAAATAGTAAATGATATTATTAAAATATCATATCATATAAAATTTCGTTTCGTTATAACAATTTAATTCAAAATATTTTTATTTATGAATAGTAAATAGTACCCGAATAGTGAACAGTGGGGGAAACGATTCCCTGTAGTAGGGGAATCGGTACCCCTTTAACAATCTATAAATTTTGTTTAAAAACGTGGTTACTGTTCATGCTACAATAACCGCTACAGTAATTTCCGAAAATTACATATTAACTTATAAAATCTTAATATTTCCTCACTATAAAAATTCTATTTTTGTTTCCAACTATATTCAACAAAATAAATTGAATATTATTAATTACATGCCACTATCTATTTCAAAATTTCACAATAGGATGTCTTACTAATATTGAAATATACTCACCGATGCTCGATGTCACTTTGAACTCTTTATTCCATTACAGGCTTTTTACCTACGCATGAAAATCATCACAGGCTAAGTATAAACTTAGTGAGGCAATTAAAAATTTAACGTGCAATACAATTCATGCATGATTTTCAATATCAAAAATCAATTTCCATAAAATTTTACTAACATATCCAATATTTTACCATGATCAAAAATAATAAAATCTCTTACCATTTATCCCATAAGCTCGTAAGCTTATTTTACCAAATACTTACCATTTAAATTCCATAAGCTCGTAGCTTATTTTTCCTATATACTTGCCATTATTCCGTAAGCTCATAAGCTTATTTGCATGGTTACCATTTATTAACAATAAAACATAATCCATAGCTAATAGCCCATATTAATCCTTGAGGACCTAGGTATTCGAGTAATTTGCACCGTAGTGCTACACATAAGGTCGTGCCCACCATATACACCGAAGTGTATTACACATAAGGTCGTGCCCACCATATACACTGAAGTGTATTACACATAAGGTCGTGCCCACCATATACACCAAAGTGTATTATAAACCTGCAGCTGCTATACTATGGCATGCCAACTATACCCTGTCCCTCAATGACTTACTTGGGCATATAGTCTATTTTATTCGATCCATCCATGTCAAAGTATATTATCAAATTTAACATTGGGCAGTTAATACCCGAAAACATTAATGGTAAAAATCATATTTTTTTCATGATCAATGCATTTTAATTTCATACTCTGACATATCAATGTCAATTTATAAATGATAAAAATCATGCCGATATAAACAAGGTCGACTTATCGCAAGTCTTCCTTATGATGTATAAAACATCCATGTATAATTGCATGCATGTTGCACTCACCTTGACACTTTATATCTTTCAAATTATTTGTGCCTCACTATTGTCCCATAGTATACCATTTTCTATTTGATTGCTTCGATCACAAATCAAACACGATCTGTATAAATCACAAATTCATAATAATCCATATGTTATTATTTTACTAACATAAATACATTCCACCATATCTCCATACTATATTTGAAATTCATCATCTAACAAAATATTCAACTCTTAATAATTCCTTATAACATTGGAACCACTTTTCCAATTTACTCAAAATGGTCTTAACCATTTTACCACTTAAATTCTTAATACCAATAATTCCAACATTGAAATTATTTCCATTCAAATGCTTTTACAAAAGCATAAATACATTTAAGTACCCCAACTATGAATTGTTGTACTTAAATCACCAATCATTTCAATCTTCCCAAAAATCAATTTCGCATCTACACTCATTTCAATTCTCAAACAACAATTTCCAGCATAGTACATCAATTATACAACTCTTACACAACAACCCATTAATATTCCAGAATTCAGACAACTCGTACTACCCTTAAAGAATCATTATTCTGTATTGATATAAACACTGTAATTCAATTTAGTTTCTTCCTTAAAAACTAGACTCGAATACGAATCTATCTATACAAAAATCCTTCTAATTCATTCTGTACAATTTATGGTGAATTTCAAAGTTCACCAACAGAATCTGTTTTGTACAGAATTCTGCTGTCCGACTTTTCTGACCTTTTCTCAGTTAAAAATTCATATATATTTGTACAACTTGAAATTGAACCTCGTTTGTTTTAAACAAAACTATATCATATATGAACACAATATATAAAATTAACCTCCAAATTATTTTTATATATTTTGGTGAATTTTCAAACCTATCAAAATCCAAACTGTTTTCTTTAACTTCATCCTTAGGTTCTTCATCAATTCTTACAACCTCAAAATCATCATAATCATCATCAATTTCAACAACCATAGTATAAACCCAAATTTCCAGATTTGGGGATATTTGAAATCAAGCTATATTATCATGCAATATTGGTACCAAATGATAGCGTTTTACGCAAATAACCATTTTCTATTTTCATCATACTCATAATCCTAAAGAAATTGCTTGAAAATGAGTTGAAGATCTATTACCTTTGAAGAAACCCACGCAGCTTTTGGAGGAGAAGATGAACACATTTGTTTGAAATGTCATCTTAATTTACATTTCATTCCACTTTAAATGAATATTTATTCATTTAATTGTGATCATAAGACCAAAACACCCTTAATGAATCTCTTTTCACCATCAAACCAAGCCATCTGATTATTAACCTATTACAAAGTCAAATATAAATTATTTGACTTTTATATCCGAATTTCCCCTGAATTTTCAAATCTTGCGGTTTAGTCACTAAATTCCACTGTTTCGGTTAAATCTGAAAAATTGCACATTTCCAAACCAAA